TAAGCACATTGTTGTGGGTCTGGAGTCACATGTAGGCAGACTGAGTAAGGGTGGCTAATTTCCTTCCTTAAAAGACATTTGTCTCTATGACAATAGCCAAAGGTGCATGGTTGCTGTAGTGATTGTAACAAGGTTAGCTACAGAATACGAGTCCCCTTATTGGGGCTGTTAACCTAGTCTAATCAGGGAGTCCTGGCTGAAGATATAAACAGGAGTGTTTACTCTCAGAGCTGGTTCTGAGGAAGCCAGACTATTGTCGAGTATTATGCACATGCCAATAAAGGGTGAGTTGGTGACTGGATACCAGCCTCTGTGAAGTTATTATAATAGCGAAAAGAGAAAAAAAATGCTCCTAAAGAAATTCGCTCGCAACAGTTGTCTTTGATTTGGGCTAAGCATTCCTGGTATCATGCAACTATTTGGGACGCTTAGCTTGTTTGATCCTGCTGTCAAAGACTGAGCCCAGTATATGGAAAGAATGCGTTATTTTTTCCAGGCAAATGACATTGGGGCAGATGAAAAGCAACATGTGAATCTCCTGACAGCTTGTGGACCTGCAGCTTTTTTGGTTATTAGGAGCCTTATATTTCCTGAGGCACTAGGTTCTAAAATCTTTCAAGAGTTGATGGATTTGGTTAAGGAATATTGAAACCCTAAGCTTCCTCTAATTCTGAGATGCTAAAGGTTTTACTCGGCAATTCAAGAATCGGGGGAATCTATCTAAGGATTTTTGACGAGGTTAAGATGACTGGGGCATGTGACTTTGGTTTAGCACTAAGTCAGATGGTATGAGGGATTACTGATGTAACCATGCAAATGCACCAACTAGCTGAAGCCTGACTGAACTTCACACAGTCACTACAACTGGCTTTATCATTGGAAAACGCAGCAAGTGGAGCGTGTGAGTTGCAGGATATTATGATGGAAGTGGATGCTCTCATCAGTCTGACTGAACTTGGGGAACACCACTTGAGTGAAAGCAATTGCACAGCCTCACTCAGGACATATCCTGAACAGAGGGACTCTAGGTCAGCCCACAGCAAAACCCCAAAACAAAGCCGAGCCTCAGCCAAACTGTTAAAATTCTCTCCAGGATCTGGGCGAGCAAGCCGTTGTAGGTGCTGCTGGTGTGCAGACTCGAGACAGCAGAAGAGTCCCACTAGGCCTCAATCAAGTAAGAGAGCTCAGAGGCTGGTATCTAGGAGAATGCACACCCTGGAAAGTCCACCTGCATTTGGTTTGGAACAGTTACATTGTTTAGCACCGTCAAAATCAGAACCTATCGAAATAAATGGCTAAATGGTTCTAATGGAGGTTGATACCAATGTGTCTATATCGGTGATTGTGGAACCAGTTTTTAACAAAATTCTCTCTGGTCTTCAACCCTTAAGTTTGCGGAAGACCTTGGCTGGACTGAGAACCCGCACGGGGAACCTTTACAGATTAAGGGTACAACTTGGGTTCAGGTCTCGTATGAGATGCAGCTGGTTGGTGGGGCAGTGCCCAGAGTGCCAACAAGAACAAAAAATTACCACCAGCAGCTCTCCCACATTGGCTGCATAAACCCTGGATTCAGTTACCTGTTGGCTGTGCAGGTCCTTTCATGGGCTCAATGTTCTTAGTCATTGTGGACTCCCACTCAGTGGTTGGATGTGCATAGAGTTCATTCATCAAACACGGGGACAACGATAGAAAAACTGCACATAACATTTGCAATACATGGACTCCTGGAGTGTTGTTCACAGACAATGGGCAATCATTTACCAGCAGGGAATTTGAGTATTTCCTAAAGTTGAAGGGCATTTGGCATATAAGCACAGCTCCATACCATCCATCCTCTAATGGTCTGGCAGAAAGAGCAGACCAAGCTTTGAAGGCAGGTTTGAAGAAACAGCCTCCAGCTTCACTGGATACTAATCTGTCCCAATTCCTATTTGATTATGGAACCACGCCACATCCAACTCCAGGGATAGCTCCAGCAGAGCTTCTAATTGAGAGAACACCAAGTTAAACCTGATCTTCCCAGACCTGGAGAGGGAGGGTGAAATGGTATCAGGAGCACCAATGCCGGACACAAGACTCCTTTAAGCAAGAGGAACAGGTTATTTAAAGGGATGGAGTTTGGTCTGGGAGCCACAAGAATGGCCCCTTATGGGTAAGAGGCATGCTCGACATGAGGTCATGTCCAGGGATGTATGAAGTTCAGGTAGGTGTGATGGTCCTGAACAAACACATGGACCATGTGAAAGCTGCAAACTCACAAACAGGACAGGAGCAAAACATATCCAGCCCCTCAGCAGAGCTGGAAGGGCTGTCAGAACCCGTGGGATATACCCCTCCCGTCGAAGAAACCTCGGAATCTGATATGACACGGTGGATGTCACAGCCTCGAAGCTTTTATTGCCTGAAGAAGTGGGTGAATTCCTTCTGAGATGGTCTGGGCATAGGAGGCAGGGCTATGGTCCAATAGATGCCTGTATCTGAGGCTGAGTCTGGGGAACCAGACCTGATGTGAAAGTGGGAGGCCACGAGAAAAAGAACCAGCCAACATCTCCACATTCAGAGGGGGAGGGATGTACTGATTGTAACGAAGTTAGCTGGGTGCACCTCATAGAGTATGAGTTCCCTGATTGGGGCTGTTAGCCTGGTTCCAATCAGGGAACCCGGGCTGACAGATAGAAGCTGGAGTGTCAGAGACCCTGTTCACCCTGAGAGCTGGCTCCGAGTAAGTCAGATCAGTTTCAAGGACTGTCTACGTGTAAATAGAGGGTGATGCGGTGGTGGGTGGCCAGCCTGTGTGGGGTTATTTCAGTCACCATTGGGCTAGCTGTCAATTCCAGCTATTTATTGAATTCAAATTTCGCCCCTTGCTTTTGGTGGGATCTGAATTCATGTCCCAGAATATTAACCTGGTGTTCGGATTACTAGTCTAGTGATGACTTAGTTACGGAGTAAAGTGACTCTGCTCTTTCACATTGGAAGTAAATCTCTCTCTACACTGTCAGAAAGAGAAATTGCTGGAAAAGCTCAGCAGGTTTGGCAGCATCTGCGGAGAGAAATCAGATCCATTGACCCTTCCTCAGAATTCATTCCCTTCTCTCTACACTGTCCCAACCAAACACTCACAGGACAGGGACAGCACGGGATTAGATACAACATAAAGCATCCTGTACACTGACCATAAACTGTGGGTTTTGAAGCTGGTGTTGATGAATGAATGTTTTGTTTTTGCACTGTTCTCCTTGTGGCTATGTTCACCTTCCTGCTTCCTATTTTGGTGTAAGTAGTTAATTTTCATCCTGTGTGAGCCCACCAGCTTCTCCCTTTCTGCAACCCAGCTTAAGCTGAAGTTCCCATCTGGTTTTGTGCTGCTCCTGGGATCAGTCTTTGGCTGGAGGAGGTGTTAAGCACCATTTCCTTCCCATGGTTAAGGAGTTAAAATATCCTCCGATTGAGAAGCCAGTGGGTTCAAAGGCTGACTCCACCCCTTTGTTTAGTTTGCACCTTATCTGCTTCCAACAGGAACAGGAGGGGAGTGGAGCAGGATCGAGTGCCATGTGCTGACAGCAACAGGGATTGGTGCAGTTTGAGAGCTGCTGTTATATATAGCTGTATGACGAGGTGTTAGAGGGGGCGTGTTAGAATTTTGCTCAGAGACGGAAGATATGATAGGAGTTGTGTTTGAGGCAGCCACTGAATTTTCTGTGCAGGAGTGTAATTTGCCCTCAATCCAGGAGGGTGTGGGGGAAACAAGTGGCGATTCTGGCTCTGGCCATTGATGGGCCTGTGCTCAGATCCCAAGTGACCCACTCGACTGCTGGGGTTGGGACCATTTCAGCTGCTTTATCATCAGTCATCAGTGAGGTAACTCCTCACATATTACAAAGTGAAAACTCGGCGAAATTAAGGAACAGTTAAAAGCAGGAAGTATCGTCATCCAGCAGATTCAGCTAGCTGCTGCTGCCTTCTCCTTAAAGAATCATTAACCA